TCCCTACATATCTCCCAATTTTTCAGTATTTACAAATCTTTCACCTATAATTTTATTTGCTGCGTTTATAGCGTCCAAAAGTTACATACCATATTACAAACATCACCTTTTTAACTTTTAAAAACTAAGATGTAGGTTTTGATGCGTTAGATAAGGGACATGTGGATAAAACTTGAGGGTTAGTTATGTAAATACGTAGGAATCGAGTGGTTGTATGTAATTCTTAATTGTGTGAAGACCTCATTGATTCCCCGAGGTTATGCGAGTCGGTTTAAATTTGTTTTTATTTGGAAAAAGTATTGGGTGATATTAATTTTATAATATTATTTTTATTTTAAAATAATTTAAAATATGATTAATTTGTTACAATGTGTATTACATTTATCTCTAATTAAATTAGACGATTATGATTTATGATATTATGCCAATTAAAATTGAATTAGAATATTCTAGAAAAGAAAAATTATGAGACCGGGCTATGATGAAATGATAAATTCTTATATGTTATAGAATATAAATGATGTTATTCCTCATGACTGGGAAAGACATTAGTATAATGAACATAAATTATGTGCAATAGATTCTATGATGACATTTGTAAGATATTGTAGGCATTGGAGTTATTTTATGACATCGTGTTATATTATAGGGCAACACGTGCTGATGCTAATGACGAGTGATAAACTTGATGGCTATTGGCTTTAGAATGAGTGATATACATTGTGCTTATGAGTAGATGTGTCAAAAAATGATTTAACCCAACAATCTAACTTAAGAATTTTAAGTTTTGGTTGATAGGAATAACTTTAATTTAGGTTGATGTCAGCACCGTGTGTGCATTGACTTTATAAGATATATCATGGATTAATAGCATGCATTAGGCTTATATCATAGTATGGCAATGATCGTTAAGAGCACATAATTAGATTTTTGTTTGTTTGAGTGACAGGAGTTCGTGGTAGTGGACGAGCAACTGAAATCAAGTGATAATGCTTGATAGTGTTCAAGCGACTATAATGAGGTGGCATTGGTTTGGTGTTCGTAGTCAGGTGGCTATAGCTAGGTGATTGTAATCTAGGGATGATGATCAGGTGACTGTAATTAGACAAGAATGAATAACCAATTATAATTCATTGATGGTGATCAACTGATGATGGTCAATCAATTAAAGTTAAAGGACAATGATGAGGCAATCATGGTCAAACAATGGTGATATGATGAACATAATTAAGTGATAGCAACCATGTAATCGTAGACAGGTAGCAATGGTCAAGTGGTCGCAATTTGATAATAGGGATTGTCTAATTAAATACACGAGATGATAATCCAATGACAATATTTGGGTGACGGATCCAGTAGCTATGGTTAGATGGTAGTGGCTAAGTAAAGTTCATGGATCCTCAAAACTTGAGAGCCCTCTTCAATATAAACCCTCTCTCATACGGAGAGTAATAATTTATTTATGAATTTTGAAGGTCACCGCAAAACTTTTATTTGAAACTCGCAATATATGAAAAATTTATGTAAAAATATCAAAATAAAAAAAAAAAATCACGATAAATTTCAGAACTACTAAATTTATTTTGTGAAGCTTGTAGTACATAAATAATTAATTAAAAAGTATATTGCATGCATGCCCTACATATGTCACACAAATAAAATAATTTGCAATTATAAATTATTGATGATTCCAACAAATTTCTTGAAACATTTGAGTAAGAGTGTGAACAATTAAATTATTTAATATGCAATTACATAATTAATTAACTATAAATTAAAAACGCTTAAGTACAACCAACTCAACACACAGCCAATGACAAGATGTGGCATAATGGTCTTAAAGGTAAGTTTTTCTTTATTAATTAAATTTGTTTAATTTTATTCTTCGTCAGTCATTTTAGAAGTGTTTGGTTTTGTAGTCCAACGAATTGCTTCTAATGTTTTAATTTATTGCTGTCCGTTTAGCACTATTATAAGTTTATATTTTTAAATAATAATATAGATAAATAAGTAAATAAATAAACAAATCGTTTATTACAATGGCTAGGAAATTTTCTTGATAGTTCAATTCATAAAATAAACTTATTTTGAAAATTTAATGAATTAAATTATATCACAACAGAGAGAAAATCATTAATTGTAAATTAATAGATGAGAAAAATAGGTGATCAGGACATTTAATATATTTTATAATTATTGGATTTATTTTAAGATATATAAATGTATAAGCATAATTAAAATTTATATTTTTTTGGATTATAATATATTAAATAAGCATTGATGCGTGCTAGAAAATTTGCGACAGCTGAGTAATGAGTTATCGTCTTTGTGTTGCAAGAGAATTCTACACACACTTGAATAAAAGAAACAATCACTAGAGACACAATAAATTTTTACGTGGAAAACTAGAAAAGGGAAAAATCATGGAGACTGACCCAGCTGAAGAGTTCCATTATAAAAAGATGATTGCAGTTGCAACCAGTTGCTCTATTGGCGGGAAAGATTTACTAGATTTTCTAAGTTACAACGTCGATTGACGGCTTCAAATAACAATTGACGGCGTCCAATTGGTGGAGGTCGACGGTGGTTGACAGAGATCGACGACGGTCAGTGGTGGTTGACGACGATAGGAGAGCTGAAGGTTATCAGTGGTTGTCTACTGCAGCCGAAGGTGGTCTGTGGCGGTTGGCGGTGGACTTCAGTTTCTTCTCAACCGTCATAAGAAGGGCGAGACTCTAGTGATATAATTCGTGTGCAATTAATTCAAGAATATGAATTAATTTGATCGGATGACTCAGTTGACTTCTCTCGATCATACGACATTTGATTAACAATTGAGTGTCTTATTGATGTTAAAATCGAGTGATATTGGGTTCATTGGATTTATCTTGTCAAGACGCTCGATTTTACTATAGACTCGTAAGAATTGACATTTGTTTGATCTTTCAAATGTGTCAAAAAAACTTTTAAAAGTTATTTAATGGCTTGATCTATGCTTAATTTTGTTCAATATAAACCAATTTTGGTAACATTTGGTTTGGTAATTGGGTTGTTCTTATCAAGCCGGTCAGTTTACTGTAAGTTTGTTGAAATCGGAGTTCCAGATGACTTTTTATCGAGGTTTGAATATTTCTTGTTCAAAAAATCACCTTGAGATCTGACCACTATGCCATATGCCATAGTATGAGTGCCTGCTTTATTGTAATCTTGGGATCGTCACTATTCGCCAGCCACTGTTGTTGTCGGACTCTCACCACAATCGAACCAACATCGTTGAACTTGTCATCTGTCATCACCCACAAGTTTGACACACATCATGTTAATGCTCAACCAAAAGAGTATTATCGTCTGACCATCATTATCTAGTTATTATCGCTCAATTAACATTGCTTTATATAGCAGTCAAACCACAGTTGTATGACCACGACCAACTATGATTTCTTATCATCATTTCTTGATAACATTATTGTCGTCAGACTCTCACCTCAATCAAACCAGCACCATTTATCTTGTCATCCATCATCACCAACAAGTCTGACACACATATTGTTAATGCCCAAT